GACTGTGTTTTCCCCTTGCCTTAGATCATGTAGGATACTCTCCACATGGAAGAGTTCTGCGGTATTCTCACTGCTGGAGAAGGTGTCATGGGCTGCGTCCCATATTTCTTTGGCTGAAGTGTAAAGGAGGAAATTCTCACCTATCTCAGTAGTCATCGAACTGATCAACCAAGACATAACCAGATTGTTTTCTGCCCTCCAGGTTCTAAACTTAGGGTCACTGGAATCCGGTTGGACAACCATACCGGTAAGGTAATCATCGCGGCCTCGTCCACTGATAAACATCATCATGGAGTGAGACCATTGGAGATAGTTGTGGCCATTTAGTTTGTGGTTGATGATAGGGTTAGCACTATTTTCGGGAGAGATCTGAGGATTGATAGAATTGTTGAGAGATGGAGTGGTTGGTGAGGATGAGTCCCTGGAGGTCTGCTCGGATTCTGCCATGGTGGACTAGATTTCCGAGAGAGAAAGAGGAAGGACTCGATGTTGGAAAAACCGGGAATAGGAAATAGATTAGGGCCGGCGGCCAGGGAGATGAGAGTTAGGGTTTAGAAAAACCTGAGGCTCTGATACCATAAAGGAGACCAGAATTAGAATTCTCTTATATTTATTTAGGATGAATTCGGGTATATTTATACACAAGGATCCATTTGAATTGATCCTGATTTCTAGGAACTACTCCTACTTTTAAGGAAAGAAATATACAGCTATATACACCAAATAAAATCTCTAGATACTCTAGATCCACAAAAATAGGAAACAACTAATCTTGCCCTATATGGCTAGACGGCTGGTTTGAATTTCTACAGAATGATTTTAAATTATGATTCAGAATCTGATGTGTTGTTTTAAACTAGCTCAAATCATGATTTTAAAACCACCTCCCTCTTAATTCAAGGTGATTCAAACTCTTGATTTTGAATCATGGTTTCATAATCATGATTTGAACCCAAAATCATGAATCATGATTCTGGTTTTAGAATCATGATTAAAATCACTCTAATTTGAATCCTTCTACCAAACGAACCCTAAGTCTATAACCACGCAGTGATCTCTGTTATTTTCATTCTTAAAAGATGAATTTCTTGCATAGAGTAGAAAGCTGCTTGTTATCTTACCTTACTTTTTCATAATAAACTTCATAACTTATTATGTTACTTTCTTCTAATGATTTGTTGAATTAAGTCATTTGGATACATATGGTGCTCAAAAAATTTGCTTTACAGACCAAAGTTAACTTGCATAGAAGCTTTTAATGAATTCCAAATATGCCTAGAAATCAGTTATTTACAACAAAAGTCCATTTTAAGTTTCCTTTGCCCAACTCCTTAAATAATAATATAATAATAATAATAATAAAGCACTAGGATCATGATATGTCGTTTACCCTAAATGTGAAACGACACGTGGTGTAACGGAAAACAACAGAAAAGTTTTGAAGTTAAACGAGATGTCGTTTTTCGTAAACAACAAGCATTTAGAAGGTTGCATGATATGACATTGAAGACTGCAATCTTGTAAAAAAAACAAACAACACGTCGTTTAGTACATGAACTCATGCACAAAAATATATACACAAAAAAGCAAACATTTGATCGAAATAGCAACATAAATCTTTTAGTAAAGTTAAAAGTAACGACGTTTCACGTACATCAATCTTTTAGGGGACGTTTGTTTCCTGTATTTATCCATGATTCTGAATCATGATTCATGATTTTCTACAGTGTTTTCTGTCACCAAAAATACAAATAAAACGAGAATAATTCTGAATCATGACGACATGTCTCGTTTTTACATAAACGACAACAAAATTAAAATGTGCTTTAATGAACAAGTTTCTATTTTTTTTTTTTTTTTAAAAAAAAACCCCCCCTAAATATGGTTTCAGTTAAACAACAAATTTTGAAAACCTATTTACAAAATTTTGATTTCACAAAAAAGATGCTGGCTAATAACTAATAAAATCACTTTGGTGCAATAATCTCTTCAATTTAGCAACTAAAACTGTTAGTCACATACATTCTTGAGATCTTTGGGCCAATTAAACACATAACATAGTAAGGTTACAACTTCAATAATGATATGATATCCAGCATTAATTTTCTTTTCCAATTTATTGAGGACATTTTTTCCCCTTTCTTTGAGTTGAGGATTAGCGTGGGGAAACCTTCTAATTAAGTCAGGTCTGACCGTACTGAGCTATAAACATTAGCATAAGTAGAATATAGAATGTTCCTTAGGTACACTTAAAGATGACGTCATTAATTCAAACATCCGCTCACTTACTAGTGCTATTATTTTCCTATATATATTTCAATATTTACCGCAACTAATTATATTTATCCAAATGATCATAGTGAAATATTCTTATCATAAGAATATTTTTAATCTATGATAAAAAATAGTACCGAAATCATATAATAAAGGTAATTTAGATTAATATTTTTTAAATTTTTTTTCTATAGAAGCGATGGGAACTCTTAAGATTGAGTCCGCCCTATATTCACTAAATAAAATACTAATTCTTAAAAGTTCACTTAAAGCTAAAGGTAATGTTGGGTAATATGTTCCACTAAGATATAAAGTAACTTCATGAAACATACCTAAAAATTGATACAAAACTTTGACAATTTGCCAATTCATATGCGTCTATATGTCATGTTCCTAATTTTGCACAGATATAGTTTGTTATAGCATCCTTATAGGGGCTGCATTGTTGAAGCATAATATAAGTTGAGTTTCATCTTACAGGCATATCTAAGGCTAATGCTCTAGGAGGTAGATTTAATACTTGTAAGAACCTAAACCAATCTTGTTCTCTTTGGTTACTACCTTGAATCCATGCAATACTATCTCTTATTCTTGTAATGTGAGTAGCCATTTCTTTTAAACATGATTTTACTATTAAATTAATTACGTGGCATGCACAACGTTGGTGGAAAATAGTATCATCACCGAATAAACTTAAATCATTTTCGAAGTACTCAATTGCTTTAGTATTTGCACTAGCATTATCTAATGTTATAACCATTACTTTATCTCTTAATCTAAATTCGTCAATTACATTTAAAATTGTATTATATATTAAATCGGCGCTATGTGATCTTAAAACACACTTAAAGCCTAATATTCTCTTATCTAAATTGAATCCTTTAAAGTAATGTCCGGTTACAACTAAATAATCTTTATTGGCTATTGCAAACCAAATATTTGCCATTAACCCAGCGTAACTGCTAGCCGAGTGTAAAAGGTTTATTAATTCTTCTTTTTCTTTTTTAAATAATTTTAACAAATCTTTCCTAAGAGTAGTTTTTGAAGTGAACTGTGCATTAGGATTATGTACAACTTTAATATATCGTTGCCAATTAGGATACTCTATAAAACTAAGTGGTTGATCTAATGCAGGTATCATTCACGCAACTTCCATACTATCTACTTGCAGATTGTATTTCCAAGTGGTTAGACCACCGGTTGCATGATCAAAACATAATTGTGCTTGGCAGAGTTCGGCTCTGCTGGACTGGCTAAGCTTTTGAAGACACTTTTCAGAGTGTATTCTCAAGTGTGTTGTGCGTGAATAGTATCACCTTAATTTAGATAAACAATATTTACACTAAGATATATGTTTAGTGTTACCGTCATTGTCGATCTCCTCAATTGTGTCGAAGTGATCCCAAACTGTCGAGGTGCGCTTGCATTTCCTCTTGGAGATTTCAACACTTGCAGACGCAGTAGTACTTGCACTCGCTGCTTCTCCACGCCCACCACCATTGCGACCACGGCCTCTAATACGTCCACTAGGGCTCGGATTAGCATATTCCTACGCAATAAATTCATTAGTGGGAAATTACCCTTCTTCCACGTTGTGTTGGGCATCAACAGGAATACCACTATAACCAAAAGAATCAATTATAAAAAAATAAGAGCGATTTGAGAGAGAGAGCTTTAGCATATTGTAATAGTTTTTAGAAAAATTGTGAGAGAGATTTGAGAGATTGAGAGAGATTGAAAAATTGATTAAACGGCCATTTTTTGGGTTAAAAAATTGATTTTCCCCCAAATTCGGATCCAATTGCCATTTTTTTCTCTGCGGGTTGGGTTCGGGCGAGTTCAGGCCGAAATTCAGGCAACGGTAAAAAAAATAGCCGTTGAGTCGGTCATGTCGGGCTCTGGGTCGGGTCGGGCGCCAACGGTAAAAAAATATATCCGTTGGTCGGGCTCAGGCTTCTGCCAATTTGAGCAAGTCGGGCCTGAGTGAAAAAAATCACAAAAAACATTCCAGCGAACAGCGGTTGACGCTAATTTCACGGCGACATGCTCTGGTGATATGTCCATTTTCGGGCAGCCTGAGCCCGAGCTCGAAAATGGACCTTGGACGGGCCGGCCTTTGGGCCTGCCCGCCGAGCCTAAAAAATTTGAGCTTCGGGCAGGCCCGCAAGCTCAAAGTTCCAACACTATTCTTATGGTCGAAATTGTTATTTCACCTGATCAACAAATAAGAACTATTGTTATAATTGTTAGAATAATTTTTTTAAACAAACTGATATGTAAATATCCACATTAAAATTTGCGGTGCGTAGTGCGGAGTTGTTCTTATTCACATATTAGAATATTAAAAAACTAATCTAACGATTAAAATCACAATTTCTAGTTCTAATATATAAAAGTAACAATTATTTTGGTGAGAGTTCCCTAAACGATATTGGAAGCCTTGGTTTTGTTTCTTCCTTTTACCTCTCTTGCTATATATAGAAGAATGCATTCATCAAATAGCATTGTATCAAAAATGACACTTTAATAATTAAAACTTCCTTTTTGTGGAAGAAAACGACACAAATTGGATTACATAAATTTTGGAAATCCAGATAAACTTCGAACAAGCAGAACGGGAAGCTTTTCCAAACTGCACAATAAACCAGCCATAAATAAAACACAACACAAGATCTCATCGAAGTACTATATATATATATATATATATATATATATATAGTACTCTCCTATGAAGTGGTATTATCGTCGTCACTTGAAGGATAACCAATACCATGGCGGTTATTCGGAAACAACATGAAAACAGAACCCGAAATTGCACCGATCACCGGAGGCAACACCTGGAGAAGAATCTTCTGCTCCAACTCGAACTCCGGATAGAAACACCTCACGGTGTTGGAGTCCAAGAGCGACAGGACGGCGAAGACAACGAGCGCGAAGAAAGCGTGGACAAAGTCTCCGAACCGGAGCTTGTACTTGGACAAGTCCTCGGAGCTAGAGGAAGGCCAGAGACCGGTGTTGGTGACGATGCCGTAGTGGGTTTTGCCGTCACTGTCGGTGTAGCTGTCGGTGAAGGAGGCGAAGCAGCAGGAGACGGCGCAGAGGACGATGAGTATGGCGTCTAGGGTTTTGTTCACCGCGGTGCATGAGCCGCTGTTGGTGACGACCGGGTTGAGGAACTGGAAGAGGAAGACCGTCCCGGTCGGGAGGACCTTTATGAGGTTCCCGACCCCCGTGAAGGTTTTCGCTGAAATGCCTGGCGACGTCGTTTGCGACGTCGTTAGGGCTTCGGTTTTGGAGGAAGATGCGGAGACACCCATTTGTATTTTTTGTTTTTTTGAATGTGGTTTGGAAGCAGGGAAAGAAGTGTTTCTGTTTGTCTTTTTTCTTTATTCTTTTTTTTTTTTTGATGTGGTTTTTGGAGATGAATTTTTGTGGTATTTATAGTGGAGGGGGAAGAGCTAGAGAGTTTTGCTTGTACGTAAAAAGATGGTGATGACATGATGGGCTTTGCTTTTGCTTTTGGAAATGAGCTACTTGTTGGGGTGGGCTTCGTTTGTAATCCAAGCTTCGCAATTTAGAGGGATTTAAATTATGTGATTAAAATTATTTTTGATTTATGTATATTTTTTATAAGAAAAAATATTATAACGAACTACGAATTATAATTTAAATCAGAGAACGAATTTAGATTCTAAACAAACTCTTAACTGAATTTTGATATACAAAGTAGTACTCAACGTCGTAACACGCACGAAAAACCAATGGTGTGACTTATTCCTTTTCAAAAGTGTACGTACTTTAACCAAAATGGAAAGTACAAGTATACAGCCTCCTTATCCAAATCAAAGGATAACTACCTCACTTTGAAAAATTATTACTATAGTAATATATTTCCAATATCAGATCCTTATGGTTCACTATAAACAAATACTTTATATTTAAGTGTATGAATTCTAAATGAGATCCAATAATATATTTATATATATAATATGTATGTGTATGAATGAGTTTTTAATGGTTATGTTTTTATCAACGGTCACCTCTAAATATAAAAATTTAATAACGTGACGTGATAAAAATTTAATTTTATTATGTTCATTAATTTTTTGTCAATTATTCAATTTATTACAACCGTCGGATTAATATTTTATGGTTAAAATAATAATTCCTATTGATGAATAAATATTAACGTAATTATTAAAATTACACCCGTGTATATATATATATATATTCTATATCTATATATAGACACACACTACTATATATGAGATAAGATGTTTTGTTAGTGCCACATATTTACAGGCAAGTGACACCGATATGTAGTGTTTTTTGGTATTTGATCTCCATTAGTTGCGTTTTATTGAAACGTGTGGGAAACCAAAATTAGACTCTAGCCATGTATTACTGACCAAGACAAACATTAATATATTATACATATTACTAAAGCAGCATCCGGATTACTGTTCTTAGAACAATGTCCGGTCCTTTCTCTCCTTCTGTTTTAGAAAAATTTCGGTTGTGTCCTAAATTTTTGTTTTTACCGTTTTATCTTTAGTTACTTATTTCTGCTTTGGTTTTTATTTGGGTATTTTTGTCTTATCCTTCGGAATAGAGCCTCACTGAAGCTTCTGCGCTTGATTGTTTGGCTTGGCTTTCTTTTCTCACCGCGAGAGTTCTCGACTTATTCATTTATGTCTATTTATTTTTTTTCCTTCTCTCTCTCTTCCTTTTCATGAGGCTTCTCGGATTAATTTTTTTTGTTTGTTTGGTTTTCTCGCCGTTTCTTTTTGTCAAGCTTCTGGATTTGGTCCTTTTTGTGCATTTCTTTTATTTCCTTCTCTTTCTTCCTTTTCGTGAGGCTTCTGAGATTCATTTTTATGTTTGTTTCGTTTTTTTGGTTTTGTTTTTCGTTTCTATTTCCTTGGATTTGGCTTCGTTTTTTCTTCTGTTTTTTTATTCGGTTTTTTTTTTCATTTTTCCAGATTTGTTATTTGTTAGTGTTTTTATTTCCAGATCTGTTATTTGTTAGTTTTTTTCATTTTTTTATTCAGTTTTTATTTCCAAATTTGTTTTGTTTTAGTAGTATTGTATAATTTCTTTTGATCTGTTCTTCGTTTTGTGTTTTCATTTTTGTAATTTTAGAATTTTTTCTATTAATTTTTTTCGGCGAATGGTTTTTCCTTTTTTTGTTATTTTTTTTGTTATTTTTTTTTTAGTTTTGTTGTTTTGTTCTTTTATTCTACTTCGTTTTCTCCTTTTTTTTTGGCTTTCTAGTTTTTCTGATTTTTTTATTATGCGTCTTTTTGCTTTCTGGAGGGTTTTTTTTTTAGGAATAATTTTGGCCTATGTTTCTTGCTTTTTCCTTCTTTGTTGTTCTTGGTTTCTCTGTTTTTTTTTTCCTTCAGATTCTTTAAGATTTCGTTGTGTCAATTTTTTTTCCTCTTATTTTATATTAGGGTTTCATTTTCTCTTTTTCCCCTATTTTTTTGTTATCGTTCGGAATAGATTCGGTGTTTTTTTCTGTCGATTTTTTAAGATTTCATTCTGTCAAAATTTTTTACTCTTATTTCATATTAGGGTTTTGTTATCTCTTTTTTTTTCTTTCTTTCTTCTCTTTCTTTTTTGTGTTTGGTCGTTTAGGTCTTTGAAATAATCGATTTTTCTTTCCTCTTTTCTCTATTTCGGTTGTTTTTGCATCTATTCTTTGTTCTTTTTTTTTCTCTACACATTTGATGTTCTATTGTCGTTTTTCTTATTTGTTTCTCTATGTGTTCTTCCTTATCCTCTAATTTTCTATAAGGGATATGTAGTTGTTAACTGTCTTATGTTCATTGGTTTTGTTTCCTGTTGGTTATCATGTCGTGTAACACCTGTTTTTACTAATTATTACATGTTTTCATATTTGTTTGCAGGTTATATTAGTCGGGAATGTTTAGACATTTGTTTTTAGTGCAGGGTAATTTTTTCTAACGGATTAATTTTTTTTTCACTGGCTGCAGGTTATTCGTTCTGTTCTGCGGTAGTTATCATGCAACGTAACACCTGTTTTCAACTAATTATTACATATATTAAGTTTTGTTTGTAGTATTTGCTACCGCCACATGCTCAAAAGTTTATCTTCTTTGTATAAATATATTGTTTTCTCTTTCATGCTTACTGCCTTTCACTTTGTTTCTGTTTTCGTTGTCATACAGTTACAGCCTATCTTCTCTATGTCCTTTCTTTTCTTCAGTTTTCAATAAGGAGTTTTTTTTTTCTTTTCTGTTGTCTCTGTTTTGGAGTTTTTTTACTTATCCTGCATCAACTATATCCACTTTCATTATTGCTCTAAGGTTCTTCTTTCTTACTTCTTCCACGTTATTTCCAACTGCTATTAAAATTGTATGTATTATATTACTATGATTTCTTAAGTGTATATATTGAGTTGTTAATATATGTGCTCACTGTTTTATGTTATTATGATTATGTTTGTATTAAGTTTGTTAGTATTATTTGTAAAGTATTTTTTAGTGTTTATATTATATAAGTTATTGCTATTTGAGTAAAAATTAGGTTTCTATTCTATTTGTTCTGTCAACACTCCGTTCTCTGTCTAATGTGACTTCTCATTTGGTAATGATGTAGTATTTTTCTTTTATTGCTACCATGTATTAAGTAACTGTTTATAGTGATTTAGCAAGCTTTGACGTTGTCCGGATTATTTAAGATTTATGTTGTTCTACTTATCATGTTTTGTCAATAGTATGTTGCTCTTATTGTCATTCTCTACTCTAAAATAGTTTGCTCTTTATCTGATTTTACTGAAGGGTTTTCATTCTATTCTTTTACTCCTACCTCTGTTGTTGGTTCGCCAGTTGAACTCATTTTTATGTTTCTGAAGTTTCTGAGAATTTATTTACTTCCTTTATTTTGATACCGTCTTTCCCTTGCTTTTTTACCACTATAGTATTTATTCTTTTTCTATTGTCTTTGTTTTGTTCTCAAATATTTCAATTAGTCTTATGGGATTGATTTGTTTTGTTCTCAAATATTTGAGTCACTTTTCTGGGATTGGTTTCAGTGACGGTTACAAATGTTGTCTTATCTTTCTTATCTTTTCTGTACTATTTATGTTGTCTGCTCTTTTTTCTGTCTTTAGTACAAATCCTCTAATAATTTTGTTGGTATATGTTGTTAGCAGTAAAAGATGGATACCTAAACCATTTTTCCCTTTTACTATTATGTTTCTGTTTCGTTCTTTTCGTTCTTTATTTCTTTTTTCCTTCTTATTTTCCACAAATCTTTTTATAATTCAGTTGGCACTGAATGACATTGCCAAATTCTATTTCAGTTATTTTTAATGCGTGATGTTAACAATTAAAGGTAAATACCTAAACCAAATTCTTTATATATGTCTATTTAATTTCCCTATCTATTTCTTCTTTAGTATTATTCATGTAATCTACTATTTTACATGAGATTTCTGAGATTTTATCCTTCTTCTTTTTCTTCATGCTGTGTTCCCTTTAATTTTTTACCACTGTAGTATTTGTTGCTTTCCTGTTGTCGTTGTTAACTTTGAACAGAAACTCTTAAGTTTTGATTTTTAGTTTTTTAACATTTTTTTCAATATTTTCATATTTGTTTTCTTCTAAAATATTGCAGTTACTCTTCAGGGATTGCTTTCGGTTGTAGTTTAAAATTCCCTCATATATATTGTTACCAATAAAAGATATAAAAGATTGAACCATTTTTTTTCCTTTACTATTATGTTTTTGTTTTCTTTTTTTATTCCCTATTTCTTTTTCCCCACTTATCTTGCATAAATTTCTTTATAATTCAGTTGGCACTGAATGGCATTGCTAAATCCTATTTCAGTTATTTCTAATGTGTGATGTTAGCAATTGAATGCAAATACTTGAATAAGAATATGTGTCTATCTGATTTTCATATCTATTTCTCCTTTTGTGTTATTCATTTGATCTACTATTCTACATGAGCTTTTCCTACTTTCCATAACTTTTCTTTTGATGCACATGACATTTTTATGTGACATTTACAGTTTCATTGTAAACAATGTATGTTACTTCCATACAATATCCAACATTTGAAGATGGAACAATGTTATTACGATGTATAACTAAATGAAAATTTCATATACAAGAGTAGAGTTGCAGAAATATAAACATATGTATATTATTTCAATATTAATGTGAATAATGTTTTTTTTTTATTTTTCTGATTCATAGCTTTAATAAATATTGTACTTATTAATGATATATATTTTTAATGTATTACACTTATTTGAAGTAGATTTGTTGTTTCGTTGCACTTTCTACTGTTGAATACAGATTTGAGTAGCCAGACACTCGAGTTATGCCTAATTCTCTCAAATTCAAACGTGAGCTC